TTCAAATGGGGAGAAAACGGTGGTAAACATATAGGGAAGGTACCTCAATAATAATTACAAGAATTAGACACCTGTCAACCACTTGCTATTTGTCGCACTCAATGACTGTTTTTGATGGAACATCTCTTTGTATCAGCGTCTGTGGTGCATATTGAACATACCTCTCCCAGATGCAGAAATACCTCCTGCAGGGAGGAAAAAAACAAAACATTTTGTATTGGATGCAATACCAATTTTACTATGAGACACACACTGATAGAATGTCAGGACATGTTTTAAATGTACAAATTTAAGGAATTCATTCTCCAACGTTGTTCTCAACAGAATTCTCGATTTTGCAAAAGGCCATTGACCATTACTTAAAAAGTTGTTATTGTCAACACGCAGGAGACCCGAGTGGCAGAATTTTTATCAAGTATCCCTGTCTTTTTGCTTGGATGCTGTATTCCTTCTCAGCTTGGCTTGGCCCTGAAAGGTGGGATCAGAAAGCCGTCTCCTAAATTTTCTAAATTGTGTGGATGTGGGGCTTAAAAAGGCCACTTTAAAAGCTTTTGAAGAAAAATAATTTTCTCTGTGTCCTCCTTCAGATGCTACGGTAACAAACAGTGTGTGGAGAACCGTATTGGCTTGGCCCTCAACTACTGCTGCTGTGATGGAGAGATGTGTAACCACGAAGTGTTCTTCCGGCCCTCGGTGGACACGCTGGCCGCCGACAACAGCCAGTCGACCAAAGAGGATGAGCGTGGCGGGGACGTGGTGCGGCGGGCCGGGGAGCAGCAGCTAACCAACACTCTGCTCTACTCGATCGTGCCCATTGCAGGTAGTGGCAAAGGTCACAGTGGGGGCTCATGGTTTTTTCCTCCTCGTCTTCCCCCAAAGTTTACACTGAGAGCTCATCACATTTTCCTCTTCCTCCTCCTCCTCCTCTTCCTCGTCCTCTTCCTTCTCCTCCAAAGGTGAGAGAGCGCAACTCATTTTCAACCTCCTCCTCTTCCTCCTCCTCCCAAAGGTGAGACAGACCATCATATTTTCCTCTTCCTCTTCCTCCTCCTCCAAAAGTGACTCAGAGCTCATCACATTTTCCTCTTCCTCTAAAGGTGAAACAGAGCTCATCACATTTTCCTCTTCCTCTAAAGGTGAAACAGAGCTCATCACATTTTCAACTTCCTCCTCTTCTTCCTCCAAAAGTGACACAGACCTCATCATATTTTCCTCTTCCTCCTCCTCCAAAAGTGACACAGACCTCATCTCATTTTCCTCTTCCTCTAAATGTGACACAGAGCTCATCACATTTTCAACTTCCTCCTCCTCTTCCTCCTTTAAAGGTTATATTGAGACCTCATGATGTTTTCCTCCTCTTCCTCTTCATCCAAAGGTTGTTTCTAATGTCACTGAGAGCTTATCATGATTTCCTCCTCCCCCTCCTTCTCTTATTTCTCCTCCTCCATCATACCCATCGCAGGTAGGGGCAAAGGTTGCTCTGAGAGCCTATCCCATTTTCCTCCTCTTTATCCTTCTCCTCTGCCTCCTCTCCCCACATCCCTCTTCTTCTTTCCTCTGCTGAAAGATTACAGTGCAAGTTTGTGATGTTTTCCTCCTCCTCCACCTGCTCTAAAGGTTACAGTGAGGCCTTGTGATGTTTTTCTTTTTTACTTCTCCTCTTTCTCCTCCTCCTCCCTCCCTCCTCTTTTTCCCTCTTCTTTTTCCTTCATTGTCTCTACTGTTAATGCAATTTTCTTTTTTCTTCTTTCTTCTTCTGTTTTTCTAACCATCATTTCTGAATGTGCTTCTGTCTGCCTAACAAACAAAGGAACAATGCCTTTTTTATTTTTCCTTTTTGGTGGTTGGCGGTTGCTCAGTTGTGGTTAGCTCCTTCTTTCGTACAGGGTTGGGTTGATTTAAATCAGGTTGATTAAATCAGTTGATTTTTTTGATTTAAATCAACTTGATTTTAAAAATAAAAATCAGTGATTTAAATCACTTTTTAAAAAATTAATTTTTATTCAATTTTTACATATTTCAACATTCAGAATTCCTTTCCTAGGTTTCATAAAAGGGATATAAGGTTTAGTACACTAATATAATCATGCTTAAAAGTCTGCTTTCCCCCCTTTCACTGTAAAATAATACAGTATTCAATTTACTTTTTTTCCCATAAAAATCAGAGCTGGGTTGATTTAAATCAGTTGATTTTTTTTATTTTAATCAACTTGATTTTGTGATATAAATCACTTTTTTTTAAATGTATTCTGTTTTTACATATTTAAACATTCAGAATTCCTTTCCTTGGTTTTATTAAACGGATATAAAGTTTAGTAGACTAATATAATCATGCTTAAAAGTCTGCTTTCCCCCCTGTCACTGTAAAATAATAGTCATAGTGTATTCAATTTTCTTTCTTTTCATAATTGAAAACCATGGTTGGGTTGATTTAAATCAGTTGATTAAAAAAAATTTAAATCAACTTGATTTTAAAAATAAAACTCAGTGATTTTGATCACTTTTAAAAAATGTATTGTTTTTACGTCTTTAAACATTCAGAATTCCTTTCCTTGGTTTTATCAAACAGATATAAGGTTTAGTAGACTAATATAATCATGCTTAAAAGTCTGCTTTCCCCCCTGTCACTGTAAGTAGTAAATTAATACAGTATTCAATTAACTTTTTTTTCATAATTGAAATTAGCATTTTCTTTTTCTTTTTAGACAAACACAAGCGCGCGCACACACACACACGCACACTGTAATAAAATACAAGTTTATCCATGCATAATTACCCCCTCCCCCCTTTCTTTTTAGACTGACATTTTCTTCATTTTTTGTCTGTTGCCATAATTCACTGATAATAGCAGATTAAGGCTTTCTTTTGCAGTTGCTTAAATTAATCATTAGTTAAAATAAAGACAATGCATTCTGCACTAAAAGAACATACTTTAACCCACCAAAAATCCTAAAATGTGTCGACATTTTAAAAAAAATTTTCAAAATCCGATTTAAATTTAACTCACTTGCGACTGGGCCCTTTCATCAGTCACAAGCGTTGAAGACTGGCGTTTTTGGGGGTATTTCAATAAATCACCACAACTCTCAGAATTACCCTATTGTAATCATTTTTTGACACAGTAAAGTAACATTCAAGCTTAATCTAATACAAAAAACTAAAGTTGTCTAAGTCTAATACTTTAATTTGTATGATTTTTAAAAAATTGGCATGAATTTGATTTTCGGAAAAATTTCCAGAGACGTGACAAGTAGAATGAAATTCACTGCAACAACAAAAATAAAAGTTCAAAGTGTTCTGGTTTGATTTGTATACATGTGCGAGTCTTTGGTGAAAATATAAAAGCTGGTCTGTGCATTGATTCACTGAATTACATGATACAGATGTACGGCACGACGTTGTGATTTCGTTGCGCGAAAAACAACACCGGTACTAGTGCTAGATCTAGCCCTAGAACTACGACTCGGGCCGTGTTCGGGTACATATCCAGGATCCTAACTATTAGACACATCATATTCTGAGACACTAGAACTAGTAAAACGCACAGAAGTATAGAAAACGGCGAAATTATGTGATTCTTGTTCATGCGACTTCTTCGACCGTTACTACGACGCGACTGGCGGATTACTATCAGCTGTATAGAAAAAAACAAAGCGCGAGTTCCGGTCTGTTCAACCCCAGTTGGGGTCACTATCCTTCACCTTCAATAACTTAAAAACTACCAGCCCCAGAGATATGAAACGAAGTCTAAGTAGCTCAGGCTTGGCCAAACAAGGGTACGAGGCGGGTCTCGCGATCCGTGCGTGATTTGTAGAGCGAAAAAAAAATTCCAAAGTTTGTCACGCAGGGCTTGTGAGACCCGTCGCGAGCGTCGCGGCGGGGGTCACGCAACTGTTGTGTGACCCGTCTGAAGTGAGTTAAAAAATCTTGATTTAAATTTTTAAAATCGATTTTTTACATTTTTATTTTAAAAATTAAAAAAATCACCAACCCTGCTTTCGTATAAACCGTCTGCCGTCTTTATGGCGGATTTCACTGTGAGGACCTACAGGTTTCCCACTTTCCCAATTTTTTTCAAGAATCTGAACTATATCATAAGGTTATGTATTTTATGTCTTTGGAAAGGTCTTTCAAAGAGGAATTTTTAAATGTTAGAGAGACAGCAAATGCTTCTGAAAAGAGTTATTTAATGAAAATTAACCTTACCTTGGTGCAAACAATACAATCCATGAGTATCACCAAATTTGGTTTAATAATCCAATTTATCGAATTCACAGGCCACAAAAATCATTTTGTATACAGAAAATGAAAATAGAAATTAGTATAAACAATAGAAAAAGGAAATAACGAAAAGCAAAAGAGACCAGTTGAAAAAATGTCTGCCAACGTCGGAACAGCCTGTAAGAACATGAAATTATTGTCAGCACCAATCTGAACGATTCAAAGCATTCATCAGCATTAAAAAAGACAATCACAAAAGAAAGTGCTATTTTTGTCCCTAACGTCATTTGTTTACTTCCTATGTGTGTTACACTTTACGGTTGTGCTGCAGTCCTTCAATCAATATAAACATAATAAAAATGATAAATAAATACATGTAATTGGGTTGGATTTGTAATGGATTCTGACGTCCGTGTGCTTCCGACGTAAGAGACTTACGATAGAAAAAACTTGGAAAACCCCACAAAATATCCACCTCATTGAAAAGGACGCTAAAGAATGACAGAATGGCGCCAAACGGAAGTATAGTTTTTGGAAGTGGTTATTCTCACCCCGGGTGAGAATAACATATGTCTCGCTATTCTCACTCCCTCCCTTGTTTTACCGGAAATGGCCCAAGAGGGATCAGGGCTGAGGTTACCAGGGCTGATGCTCCACAGGGTCAGTGTTGGTGTCCGAACAGACACAGATCTAGATCTAGTCACAGTCAGGGCTGTCGAATTGGAGCCAAATCCAAGGAGGTTGGCCAAGTCCCAGAAATTTGTCTCTTTTGGATCTCGTCTGGCCCTGAGAATTTCATTTGTCTCTCTAGCTCTTATTGTTGCTCCAAACTCCAAATGTTCAAGAAGGAGACAGAAGCTGAAGAGGCAAGGGGGAAAAAAAGATAAAGAATAGAAAAAAATGAAAGTGAAGAAAAGTGGATTGCTTGATAAAATTATTAAACTAGTGAACAATTTTGAACGCCTTCGGCAATTTGGTCTGATCAAAATATATAACCCTTCAACCGTCATGTAAGAGCGTATGAAATTTTAATAGTCTCGTTACGTTCATACACGCTCTCTGTTCCTTGAACCATAATTTATTGTGTGCAGGCAGAGAGGCCAGCCATCGCAAGTGTGTAAACAACATATGGTGCGGCCGGTCCCACATCCCGCTCTCTAGCGTCGGTAGTGATTCTTTTTTTTTCACTGGAGAGGTGAAACATGTTTTTGCATGATTATTATTCGTTCCCAATCACATGCGGTAAGCTGCCAAGGGCCTAGGTGATTTTATCGGCCTGCGAGAGGTCGGGGGTGAGTCCTCGCCTCATGCCCACACCGGGGTGGGAGCTATTCACACCAAGACATGGGTTAATCTCACCCGAGGTGAGAATAAAGGTGGCCATAGTTTTTAGCCTCAGCTTCGCAGAAAGTCGTCAAGATTTTCCGTAAATTTCTGAGAAATTCAGAGTTCAACTGGGGCTCTCGTGGCCTAGTGGTTAGGGTGTTGGCCTCTCATTCAAAAGTCCCGGGTTCGAATCCGGGTAGCGACCGAAAAATTTTCTTGTCTAAAATTACCTCCTTTCCTGCTCTCTAGCAATGTTCTGTTGTCTGCTTTCATTTCCACTTTCTGCCCCCACCCCCTCACCTCCTTTGCCCCCTCCTCTGGGCTCCTCACTCTTTCTGCAGCCTTTCTACTGCTACTTCTTGGCTCCTCCTAACTGCTGTCTTTCTGCCATACCCCTGATCTTCTGACCAGAAAAGATCTACACCTAGCTCTATAAAGAGCGAAAAATCTCGGAGGGCCCGTGTGCAAGTTGTTTTATGAGCGCTGTAAAACACTTTACAAAAACAAAACGAAAACAAAGAGTTCAACTGTAAGATGTTGGCGACACAGAGGGAGGAGAGCATCACAAACGACTCTTTAAGTCTACTAATAAATTCTTAAATTTCCGCAAATGACGACTAAATCCGATGTAAAAATGGATAGTCTGAGCGTATAAACTCCACATTAATTTCGCCTTTGGAAGTAAATTTGGCACTTCAGGTCAGGTGAAAATGTCGCAACTTACACCTGCGATTTTCAACCACCATTTCACTCTGTCCGTTGCCATTTCAAACCGATGTTAGATTTTTTTTTCATTTTATCCGATTAGAAAAACCAATTTCTTGCGTATTCTAGTAATTTTTTGAGAAAATCTAGCTTAATATGCCATTTAAAACCAGAATTATCAGACTAGCGAACATTGGGAAATGCCACAAGTCTAAATCCTTACGTCCGTGGCACTGTTACGCTGAAAATCGAACAAAATAGACTAAGTCAACACTTGTTTTTTATTCTCGTGTTTATTGGGCTTAGAAACAAAGCAACACAAATTGAACTTCAAACATTACAACGGGAGAATTTTATTTGAAAAATAAACCTCGTGTTGTCTCTCACAGCGTTACCGTGAAGTCCGCCTTATCTCTCCTCCATCTTTTTTGTGTTTTTTGCACTCCTGTAATATCTCTAATCTTCGGCACCTTTATGACTTAATTGTGTTGCAAGTGCCGTTAAACACTCAACAAAACTAAACATTATATTTTCTTCCTTGACTGTCACAGGTGTGGGTCTGTTGGTGGTCACCCTGTTCTTCATGTGGAGACGCCACCAGCGCCACCTAGGCCACACCCAGCTGCCCACGGTGGACCCAAGCCTCGCCCCGACACCCTCCCAGTCGTCACTGAACCTACAGCTGCTGGAGCTCTATGCCAGGGGGCGTTACGGCTCCATATGGAAGGCCCAGATGCCAGACCAGTACGTTTGAATACTAACTGACTTCATAATAATAGTAATAATAATAACATTTGAAATGTCTAACACATCTTCCCATTCTTCAGGTGAAAAGTGGTGGTTTTCGTTCCCAGGCAGCCACCTGACTACGAGAAAATCCGAATCCCTCTTTTTCTCTATAAAACTTTCTCCAGTCCATAATATCCAAGTTTTAAAAAAAAAACTGCTTAGAGTTACCGTTCTTGAACTTCTGTACGCTCATTGTCCGTTAATTTTGTAGGTGTTTGGAGGGAAAGTTATCGCAGTTTTAATATGGGTACCTAAATTTGTGGGTGTGGCTGGAGGCAGCCCAGGTGGGTGTGTCTGCTCAGGGAGGCAACTCACGTGTGGCCCTCGCCACAGGTGGAAATGGGTTAAAATAGACAGTGTACAAGTGATTGTCTTATACAGTTCGCCGTCAAGGCAGGTTCGACTAGTTGTTAGATCAGTGTCTGACGAGGACCAATACATCTGCAGAGGAGAATGTTTCTAAAGCTAAATAAAAGAATTAACTCCTTTCCTACCAGGCCAAAATCCACCAGTGGCCCAGGGACTCCCTGGCCTATTTTTACGCTCATACCCTACCAAAGGAAAATGTCAAAACATCCGACTAAACACACACAAACCATATTATATGGCCCATTAAATTGAAGGTTAAAAAACAATCTATCAGATGGTGGTACAATATTGAAGATTTATTCTAATTATATTAGCTTGGGGTCTCTAAAAACGACTGTGCAATATCGAAGGTGTCATGAAATCAACAATTTTTCCAGCCTTGAAAGGTCAGAACTAAAAAAATTCAACAACAGCATCATTCAAACTTCCCAGAAAGGTTGCCTCAAGTAAAGCAAAGAAGTGCTGAAAGTTATGTATGTGTACCTATTATAGAAGTGAAAATATGAAACATACTGAAGTCAGGGGAGCACTTTTCTTCTCATTTTTACATTTTGAAGGGGACAGGAAAGAACGCTGAAATGACTAAAAAATCATGTCAGTGCTATATTAAACTTTCATATCCGCTAACAGGAAGTCTCTTCCATTATTTTGAAAGCGTGGGTCGGCCGAGAATTTTGTGTCGTTTTATTACTGAATTGGAATAGATAATGAGCCACTCGAGTTGTAATTTGCGGCTCTCGGTCCTGCGAGGCCACTTCCGCGAGCCGCACAGGGTAGGAAACGTGTTAAAGGTTTAAGATGTTTTATGGCTTCTGCTTTTGACAATGGGACCAATTCTGGCATAGAAAAGTGTGCCATGTTTTGAACATTCAGAAGTTTCCCTTCCACTTGTGGATGTGTGCAGCTTCTGAGCTTCTCTCCCACACTCTTATTTGAGGGACAAATACATTTGGATTATCATCGAGAAATTTTGGTTACTCGTAGCACTGTTGAAGTAGATGTAGGTCTTACTGGAAGTTTATAAGTAGTGCTTGCCAGTGTTTGTCTTTCTGTAACAATTCCAGCTGCTATTTTGAAGGGGAAAAATTGTCTTGGACCTTATTCTTCATAGATTTTTCTTGCTTGTTTGTTTGTCTCCAGTATGTTTTTAGTCTCTAGGTTTATTTGCTTTCCTCCGGGCATGTTTGTTTTCTTCAAGGTATGTTTGTTTGTCTCCAGGTTTGTGGCTGTGAAGATCTTTCCTCTGCAAGACAAGCACTCATGGAGGGCGGAGCTGGACATTTACAACCTGCCTCACATGAAACATGAGAACATTCTCACCTTTATCGCCTCAGAAAAGAAGGACGATAGTTTGTGCACAGAGCTCTGGCTTATAACAGAGTTCCAAGACAAAGGTAGGACTGGCTGCAAATAATAATAATTGCATATATATATCGCATTTCCACGCTCTACAGCATGCTTTGTGCACTTGAAAAATACAATGAAGTCCTCTTAAACCGAACTCGGTTAATCCGAAACCCGCAGTTGACAGAAAGAAAAATAAAACCCCTGATTTTTTTGCCCTTGTGTTTGAGCAGCCTTTCTACACAGAAAAGTCCAACTTAACTGTGGAAAATCGAACGATCCTGCAGATTTCATTTAAGCTTACTCCACTGCTTTACTACCCCAGCAGACCCAAGAACTCTCAGAAACATTGTCGGATTCCGGGGAAGCATACAGTGCAAGCAGCCAATCGAGCACTCAAACACGAATAAATTGACTAGATCTTTTGCTTACTGCAGTACAGTTGGACTGGTCTAACAGTGATTCAAGATCACCAAAAAAAGTGACCGTTGTAATATGGATGACCACTATGCTGTCGTTGTTTTTAAAAGTAAGGTAAATGCTGTTTTTACAAATTTACATTAGAGTAAAAAAAAAAACTTTGGAAATATCCCAAATCAATAAAAGTGAGGTTGCGTGGAGAAATCAGGCGCTCGTCAAAATAATGAGTCTAGAAACTGGCATTTTTCAGCAGGTTTGGGAATTTTTAACGAATTTTTTTTTTTTGGCTCAACACCTTTCATGCCCATGAAAGCACACATTTCTGTGTGTATTTTACTGAAAAACGTTGATTAAAGGCTGAAAAATGTAAGTTTTCAGTTTCTACAGACTCCCCAGCAAAGGAAAGAACTCAACTTTGGCAGCCATTTCTTGCTTATTTTACCTCTGAAACCAGGTGAACCCCACCTCCTTCAATTGCCAATATCTTGACTTGTATTCAAGAAAAATTTAAATTTTTTGCATCAAAGCAAGGCAATTGATACCAATAACTCCGTATTCCCCAAAATTGACAAGCACCTGATACCACATATTTTTATCCTTGTTATGTCCGTTGATTGAATGCACACACCAAGTCTGAGGATGGGTAGGCGGAAAACTTTTGTAGCAGTGACCGCTATGAGCAAGTTTTGAGGGAAAGAAAAGAAGCATTGGATAAAGGCCGCTATAGATTGCTATATAAATTAAAAGTGCAAGGATGTCACAGTACTGTGGCCATTTGTACAGGTGACTGCGCTGGAGAGGTGGCCAGTAAGACAGGTTCCACTGTATTAGTAAATCACGTTGTGTTTGTGAATTTGAAATAACAATTTTTTCTCCCTGTTTGACTTGTGCTGCCTGTCTTGTCTTTTGTATAACCGCCTTCCTCCACATGACTGCAATGCAGGCTCTTTGAGTGTTGAATATACTATCCTGGGTTTTCTCATTTTTAATCTTTTTGTGTGTGTGAGTGGTGCTCTGATGGTTTACTTTGCTTGTTCTTTCCCAACAAACGTGTCACCCTTCTTATTTTTTCCTCTTTTTTCTCTTTGTATGTTACACCCTAGTGAAACATCTAATCTGTGTTGTGAGTGCCACAAAACTGGTACTAAAACTGAAATAAATTCTTCTGCTCCCCCCCCCCCCCCCCCCATCTTGATGCAGGCTCTCTGTGCGACTACCTCAAAGGCAATATCATCTCCTGGGCTCAGCTGTGTCGTATTGGGGAGACCATGACCTGTGGCCTGGCCTACCTCCACGACGAGATCCCAGCCACCTACAACTCGCCCGCCAAACCGGCCGTGGCCCATCGTGACTTCAAGAGTAAAAATGTTCTCCTGAAGCCCGACCTGTCGGCCTGTATTGCAGACTTTGGGCTGGCCCTCATGTTTGAGCCAGGCAAGGCTTTCAGCGAGACACACACTCAGGTGAGTTGGTGGATGCTGTCACGGATTCTATGTAGTGGCTCTGATATATTTGTGCCGTAGCACGGCATAAGAGTCGTGTGTTTCATTTTGACAGTACAGTAGTCTGCATGAAAAAATTTGACCGGGATTTTTTTATTATTTTTTTTTTGGTTTAGCTGTGTTTTCTGTTTGGAGAGATTGCTCACGGCTGTTACCGACCGCCAACTTAGTTAAACCGCCAACTCGCGGCACTCCCCGTAACCCGTTACTCAGTGACCCAGCGCCCCTGGTTCACTGCCGAAGCCCAGTTTCGGTTGTTTTCTTATCACACGATGTTTTTTAAGCATATAAACTGAGGCAGTAAACAAAAACTATTCTAGTGATCTCACTGAACGATCAATATAGTGTGGGCACGTAGAAGCGATCGTGAAACTGTACCGGGTACTGTTACAGACTTACAGTTGCCGTAAAACTGTATAGTAATTATGCAAAGTTGTTAGGGGGTCAGATGTTTTAAGTAAAAATAGAACATGATTTTATCCTTTGATTTTGACAAAATTACAGTAGCATGATGAAAATAGGATAAAGAAAACACTCATGTGGTGGCATCATTGATGATTGTACGCTCCGTCAAAGCATAGATATTGAAGCTTGAATATAGAATCACATAAAATTAGGGTCCTTGATAAATATCATCACAGTGCACTTACTACTCATTTCCACAGGTACATACATATATGTAGGCCTACATCTGAAACTGGGAAAATTTGTCAGTCCTGCGTCGTTTTCCTGCGTTTGACTGTTTAAATTTCTCCTAACTAAATGAGTATAAAGTTTTTCTTCTTCTTTTGTTGGTGGTCGCGTGGGAGAGATCTCTAGAGACTGAGAGAAGAGCCTGTGTGTTTAAATGGGGGAAAAGTACTGCTATCTACCACAAGCTGTGAAGGTTTGGATGGCGTGGATGTAACAGTGGGGGGGGGGCTTGAAGCTCAACCTCGCTGTGGCCTATGGTTGAAGATGCAGCGCTAGTGTCCAGAGATGCGATGTCTTCGTCCTGTCTTTCTTCATGCCTAGTATTGTCCCCTCCCTCCCTCCCTCTCTCTCTCTCTCTCTCTCTCTGTGTGTGTGTGTGGCTGTTGCCAAGTCTCCAAGTGGGTGGTTGACGGGTGCTCTGGTGTGGTTTACTCCTTCTTTCCTATCAAACATCTATCGTCTTTATCTCCCCTCTTTTTTTTTTTTTTGTCTTTGTTACTCTCTTGTAACACCTCTAGTCTTCTGGCGCTCATATGACCGTATGCAGTTGCGAGCGCCGTAAAAGCTCTACTAAAACGAGTCTCCAATTGTATGTGGTGAATGTGTTGTCTCTGTAGTTTCCGATGCTTTGGTTGTTTCTAATTCTACTTGAATGTTCTTGCTCCACATTGATGTGCGATGATAATGTGTGCATATCAAACAGTCACTAGCGCGTGTATAAGACCGAAAAGCTGTCCACAAATTTGAGTAGGTTTCAGCTGCTTTTCTTGTCTTACTATAGATCTAGTTCCCGCATTCGAATGTGTCCTACTGCTATCGTAACCCCAAATACCAACAAGATATCATGTGCAAATTCAATGCATTTGTCCACTTTTCTCTTTTGCAATTTCTGTTTTCTTGATAGATTTCTACCACCACATGTTCTACGAAGTTCATGAATATACTGAGCATGGGACACTTCACCATGGCACTCCATTAGGAATATTAATGTTCCCAATTCTCCACAGCAAAAAACAGCAGGAGAAATTCAAACAAGGCGAACGAGGATAGGGGTACTTTCACATCCTAGGTCTACACAAAATCGATCACTGTGAATCACACAGAATATGTACAATGTTCTTACTTTCACATGTAACTCAGTACTCTTTTCTCAAGAGTAATCAAGAAAAAAAAAATTAATTGTAGGTCAGGTTACTGAGAAAAAAAACTTCAAATAAAAATAAATAGATAAAAGTTGCTTTAAAAGTAATAAAGGATGGAGAGCACTTATCAGCCAGCAGGCTTAACACTAGAGAACGCCCACCAGAGAAAATGATATCATCTTGTTGGGTTAAAGCAGCCCTTTAAAATGAGACCCCATATGGAGACATCGCATCTTTAGATCGGGAGATATTGGGGATCAAATTAATCGAAAATGACTGGAATCAAGTTTCCTGGGCACGGCCTAGGCGCGGCGGGTATGCCGCTGCCGTCACGGTATCTTGCACGGCTGACAGCTGATTTATTACCATCTCGGGGTGGTCGGCAGGAAACCCTTGCCCGGTAACTAAACTGGCGGTTTTGGGGCGATTTAGACAGCTGTGAGCTCAAATAGTGAAGGTGTTTGGTTTAAGGGGATTTCATTGTCTTTCTCTGACATATGAGTCTGGGCTGATGTTGTGTGTTGGAGTTAATGTTCAGAAGTGGGGTTTTTTCCCAAAAAAGCAACAAAAACGATATTAATATTTTTAAACGGCAAAAAATTTTTTACACCTTGATTTTGTTCTAGGTGGGCACCAGACGGTACATGGCGCCTGAGGTTCTGGAGGGTGCGATCTGCTTCAACAGGGATTCCTTCCTACGCATCGACATGTATGCCTGTGGCCTCATTATATGGGAGCTGATGTCACGATGTGCTGCCGCAGATGGTGGGTGCTGTGCTGTGTGTGTATGGTGGCTGGTGGTGTGTGATTGTTTGTGTGTAATGTGTTGGGGTTAAGTTGTTAATATATATGTGTGTTGTGGGGGGGGGGGGATATGCATTCCTGGTACATTTTTTGCTTATTGCAAATTTGAGGTCACACACCTTGTTTATTTTTGTAGTTTCACGGGAATTCGCATCAAGATTTGACCAGGCGTACAAATTGAAATATATTGGATTAAAGCATTTCAACAGAAAATATATAGGGGAAAAAATAAGGTTTGCTCAACTTGCCACAATACGTGGGAGTTGACAGAAGTTTTAGGCTAGCCGTAAAGCAAACTAGACAGATGGACATCAACTCTCTTCCATGCACAGGTGCAGGAGTTCGGTCTGAACATGTGGACAGATGCGGATTTTTGGTCTGAATACGCAGTATTGACATTTCCTTTCTTCTCCCCTCTCAGGTCCGGTGGATGATTACCACCTGCCGTTTGAGGCAGAGGTTGGCCTGCAGCCATCGTTGGAGGAGATGCAGACTCTAGTGGTAGCCCAGAAGATCCGGCCAGCCTTTAACTGTACCTGGTACAAACACATGGTAAGATTTATTGATGATAAAGATGATAATAATTGTGTCACAACCTGGTGGAATCAGATGCTTGTCATCTTTGGGCTTGTTTACTTGTCTTGCTTGGTTTCCAGTTGTCAGATATAAAATTAACGAAAAAATGACCGCTTGGCAGACTTACGACAAATGTTAAAGAAATAATTGAAAAAAATAAATACATTTGTGTCTTGATGCAGTGGAATGGGGCATTGGTCAATTTTTGGATATATGGAGTTATTGGCATCATCTTAAAGGTTGTTAATTTAATAATAGATAGCATTTGTATAGCGCATATCCCCGCTCAACAGCAGGCTCTATGCACTTTACACTATATTATTACCCCGGCAGACCATGGAACACTCCGAAACATTCTCAGCTTCCCGTGAAGCATACAGTGCAAGCAGCTGATGAAGCGCTCAGACACTAATAAACTGACAAGATCTTTCGCTGTCTATAGCCGGGTACCCATTCCCACCTTGGTGAAGTGAGGAAAATTCGTGTAAAGTGCCTTTCCCAAGGACACAACGTCGGGCCCCTGACGGGATTCGAACCCTTACGGTTGCGAGTCCGAGAGCCTAACTACTAGGCCACGGAGGCCTTGCATTTAATGAAAAAAATATCCATTTATTTTTAATAGAAGTCGAGTTATTTATGATTGAAGGAGGTGGGGTCGCATGGTTTCAGAAGTAAAATTAACCAAAGTTTGGTGACTTCCATAGCTCAAGAGTCCTTGGAAACTGCAAATTTTGGTTTTTCGTGCCCTTAATGAATGTTTTTTTCCATAAAATCCACATGTAAGAATGTTTTTGAATGGACATTCACGGCATTAAGCCAAAAATAAAGAATTTGAAGAGAAAAAAATTGCAAACTGGCTGAAAAATACAGATTTTTTCAATTTTCATTATTTTGACGAGCGCCTGATTTCACCACGATGCCTTACATTTTTGTTAAAGTACTCTCGTTTGTCTATACACTTCAGAAATGAAAAGACGACCCTGGAACACGAAATAAGGCTAGATCTTTCTTAATAACAGATATCCAAAATATTAAGTTACAATTGTTTTTTCTTTTAGGGCCTGAGTAACCTGATCTCGACAGTGGAGGAATGCTGGGACCAGGACGCCGAGGCGCGTCTTTCCGCTGGATGTGTGCAGGAACGCATCAGTCAGCTGGCTCGCACCATCAACTCCGGGGGGCATGTCAGTGGTGGGGGAGGAGGAGGAATGCTGCAACTGCAGCAACAACAACAGCTACCAGAGCTAACGAACAGCAGCAGCAGCAACCCTGCGATGATGTCAACTGTAGTCCCGCCTCCCCCCATGCCGCATCCGGGGTCTGTGGCTCACCTGCAGTCTATGCCACAGCACCCACCACCACCACCACCGCCCGCTGCCCTCATTCATATGGGAGGAGGAGGCGGCGGGCCTCCCCCCACCAGAGCAGCCCCTCCTCCCCCACCAGTGGCCCTGCCCACAACGCAGCCCGCCCCTGCAGTCAACAACAGCAACAACACAGCTTCCTCCTTTGTGCCTAGCCCAGCAGTCATAGACACTGTCACGCTGCCCGATGCCTACAGCGGCGTGCCCAAGGACATGAGCTCCTGTTGAGCCTTGCGCTTAACTTTTTGCAGTCTTCGTCTTTGGTCTGGAGGTTTTTTAAAACTGCCCCTCCTTTCCCCCTCCTACCTCTTTCTCCCTCTTTGCATCCTCACCCTCCCACCTCATCCCGAGTGTTGGGTGGATGGGATGGCCACACTACCTCGGAGGGAGCGGGGATCCGAGGGAGCTGCTGGGATGAAACACTTTTCCTTCGGCAACTCCCCATCACCACTATTATCATCATTATTGCCACATCTTCTGGCAAGTGACGAAGTGGCGTCAAAAGAGAACGTTTGCAAATGGAGGAAACTGGCTACTGGCAGAGAGACACCAAGGGAGAAAATTGGCTAATGTCAGGGACTGATGCCAAGGGAAAAAATTGGCTAACAACAGAGTGACGTCTGTTGGAGAACTGACAATGATGTCATGGGTGACCACCGCAAGAGCTTCACTTGTGCAACTACTACTGCTATGAAGCTGAGAGGATTCCTTGGTTAGTGGGATCTATTTCTGTATGTGGGAGGAGTCCACTGAAGGTAGGAAGAGTCTAGTGAAGGTGGGGATTGCTATTGGCTGTAGGAATATGGTGATATTGCTGGCGCTACTACTACAATGACAATTCCCAGTCACAGTTATTTGTACATCTACCCACTCACTCACACACACTCACTGACATACCTGGTTATTTCTTTTGGAGGAATTTGGAGAGGGTGAGCCAAGCAGCTTTCATGCTGTGTTTGTTGTGAGAGATGTGTGTTATTTCTTATGTGTGTAACAAGCGTGTAATTCATATACTCTTGTTGACAGAGACGTGATACGACTTGTGTATAGCAAGCGTGTAATTCATATATATATAAATAGACTCTTTTTGAGAGAGGAGAAAGTTACTTTGTATGTGTACAGACGTGTGCACTCCTGTACGGTTGTTGTTAAATAGGAGAAGCACCCCTCGTATCCACATAACGTGTACTCATATACTCTTGTTTGCAACTTCGGAGAGATAGAGGACAGGAGCGTCCATCGTCGTCATTGTGTTATTTCGTTGGAGGGGACAACTGCAGATGTATGTATATATAATGAAACTTTTCTCCCCACCCCCACCCCCAACTCGTTCATCATGTGTGCTGTGTGGACTTGTCTCCAACAAAAAATGAAGGAGGGTCTGCTTCAGTTCAGTTTGGCAGTCGACCCTCCCGGAGGTAGCACGACGGATTTGTTGTTGGCAACGTTGTTACATTATGCTACAATCAAGACTTCACTTCTTCCAGTTCACCACTACGTGTCTAAGTTCCCTCTTTGCCCAAATCTTGACAGAACAAAACTCTCAACAAAAAACAAAACGAAAACAAAAACAAAAACAAATATAAAAAGGTGGGCGGGGGGGAAAACATGGGGGAGAGGGTGAAGCCCTACCCCTCTTTGATTCCCCCGCCTCTCTGAAATTGAGCTCAGGGTCCTATTCAAAAGCTCTTTGTGTGTGGGTTTGTTGGGGTTTTTTTTCTCTTGAGGTGATTAGTTGGTGCACATTCTTTGGCTGTATAGCATAATAATGTTGATCTGCTGGCTGCGATTTGGGTGTGCACTTGCTTCGTTCACTGGCTGCTCCCTGTTGTGGGAATGTTCACTGACATTGCTCTGTTGAATGTGTGGCTATGTTTATTTGTAATTGAGACGGGGTGAGAGAAAGGAGAATAGGGAGGGAGGGAAGGAAAATGCAGTCTGCGTTGGGCGGGGTGAGAAAAGGGATAAGAAGTCACACAGTTGGACAGGAAGGGGATGTGAAAGGAAAGGTTCTTTTAAGTTTGTTTTATCTGAGTAATAAGCATATGTTATATGAACGCAATTCCAACTGCCATGCAGTGCATAGAAAGAGTTGGACCGAAACAACAGAAAGAAAAGAAGTAGGTCCTACCAGTAGCACCCTCCAACATCCAACTGACGGAAGCCACACGGAGAAATAACTGAGGGGAAGAAGAGAAGCAAGACCTACCAGTAGCATTCTTCTGACCACCTACTCAAACAAAAACAACGAGAGAGAAAACTGATGTAAGACCAACCATTAGCGCCCTCTACAACTGCCCATTTCAACTCGGAGAAAAAGGAAAGGTTGGGCAAGATAAAAATTAGTTTCATAATGGTTCATGTACATAATAATATAATAACATACGATGGGATGTATGTATGCAGGCAGAGTGGGATATATGTAGAGCAGGCAGAAGGATTTACATATTATATATACAGGTGGAATATGTATACAGGCAGTGGGATATATGCAGATATATAATATCAAGGCAGTAGCAGTTTTGTGATGGGAGAAGGGTAGAAGCGACATGTTGTAGTTGTAAGGCCTCTGACCTGACAAAGTTTTCAGAGGAATCGGGGAAGGGTGTGTTGGAATGTTTCAGTGTGATGGTGTGTAGAGAGGGACGTGGCCGGTGGAATAGAGAGGTCATTATGGAGGGATGATGCAGTCAGTTATTGGAGATGTACTCTCTGCAGAGGGGGGGGGGAGGGGGGGGGGTTGAACTATGATGATGTGGAGAGAGGAGAAGTGACTGGTGTGCTCTGCTGAACTCCTTACCGACTGACTGACTGATTTTTTTGCACTGCTCAAATGTCTTTGTTTTCTGATTATTACTATTACAGACCCATATTTTCTTTGTGGAAGTTTGCTGGAAGTTAAACCGTGGTGTTGACTGCTTCTCTCTCTCTCTAGACAAAAAAATGTGTATCCTATTATTAATTAGCAGTTGATATTTGGATGGCAGGGGGGGGGGGGCTGTAATAAGAGGAGAGGGAAGAAACTTTTCTTTGAGTCGTGTGAGCTTCCTCAAGTTTGGCAGCTGACTTAATTCAACAACCTCGCTGCCACTACCGTTATCCCGTTTTCGCCATCATCGTCATCGTTGCAGTCAGTTCCCGCCTGAGGTTGTTTGATGGTTAGAGTCGATCCTGATTGACTGCTACTTTTTGTTATCTCAGGATTTTATTGATGTGTCCAAACTTGTGCGTTTTCTCTTTCGTGGTGAACTCTGTGAACTGTGAACTTTAAACAGGTCAAGATGATGTCAGTGGAGGTGAGGAGAGAAATAGACGTTGTTGTTGTTGTAGGTAGTGATGCTGCTTTCAAACTTGCACTGTTTACGTACACGCTTTTGCTCTGTCACCAGTTATGACAATATGTATGGGGGCATGGTGACGAGATCGGGCGCCCATCGAAATAACGAAATAAAAAAAACAAGCACTTTTACCACTAGATGGGCAATTTTTATTAAAACTTTTTTGCGGCTTAACACCTTTTATTTTTTAACTTGTTGGCTGCCCATGCTGCATACGACGACACAGTCATAGTACTGTTTCCACTGATTACCTTTCCTGCAGCCCCTGCAGTTTATGAGTACAGAGGCATTTTTTTTATCGCATTATTACCGCAGCATATATATGCAGTGTTGGTACTGCTTTTAGAAACTACAACCACTTTCTTAACCCCCAACAGTAGGAAAAGGGTAGAAACACACTTCTGGTGCTTTGAGTGCCATTGTGCTTGGGACATTGGTTCCGTGTTTACCACACAAAGTAGAGTTACTGGCTGTAACAAACTGTGACAATTGGACCGACTGTTGGCTGCCATCGCTGGTCCTTTGTGTGTTCTCTATGGATATGTGCCACAAACAATAGGAAACAATCATTTTAGTTGTATACAATGTACATTTTATTGGTTTTCCTGGGTCCCAATTTGAGGTTCAACCATGGTTCTTGTGACAATTTCTGGATCTATTTTTGTTGTTTTCTTAAAAATTAGATGAAAGAAGAATATAGCATTCTTTTTTTTTTTTCCTAAAATCTTTATAATTATGTCCATAATTATTGCAAAGTTTCATGACTTTATGTCAGTTAGTTTTGTTTCTGTGGTTCTTGGAAAACTATTGAAATAGCAGGTTCGTAGGATACATTAAAGACATAGATATATTCGGGTAGCCCGTTAGTTAATGAAACATTTCTGTGTGGATTTTTATCGAAAAATTGTTGCTCAAAGGCTCAAAAAAATGTATGTGGGCAGTTTCCAGGGACACTCAAGCTTTGGAAGTCATCAAACTTTGTCGGCCATTTTCTTGCTAATTATTTTACCCTCCCCTTCTTTATTCACAAACAGATGGGAATTTTTAATTTTCATCAAGCTTTCAGATGATACACCAATAGCTCTATCCCAAAATTGACGAGCGCCTGATTCCACCGTGTTGTGACACGTGTTGTTTGTTTTGTGCCCTCTCCGGTGTTTTGTTTTGTGTATGCTGCGTTATGCTGCATGTAGCAGCTTAGTGGGTTGTTGGCAGGTGCTCTGGTGTGATTTGCTCCTTCTTTCCTATAAAATATTTATCGTCCTTATCGCTTCCTTTTTTTTTTTTTTTTTTGGTGTTACTCTCTAGTAACACCCCTATTCTCCGGCACACACACACACACACACACACACACACACATATTGATATATATTTAAATCTTCAGGGTCTTGTTATTTGAGAGAAATATTGTTAGGGTGAGCAGAGAGAGGGTTAGGGAGGGAGTCACTGAGTTTGTCAGGCAGTAATACTGATGGAGAGATTGATGTTCTGATGTAGGAGAGAACTAGGACGGTCCTGGTGCTGCTTCTTGTTGCCAAGGTTACCGGTGAGGATAATGATGGTGCTGATGTTGCAGAGGAAGAAACTATTGGTGTCACTGAGAGTATAAGAATTGAGAACGCTGCCCCCCCCCCCCCCCCTTCTTGTCCCCCCTTTATCCCTCTCCCCCCTCTTCGTCCTCTTTCATCTCATCCTCTTCCTCCCTCCTCCTTGTCCCCAACTTCACCTTCCTCCTCCTCCCACTTCGTCCCTCTCCTCTCGCTGCATGTGTGTGTTTTGTGTAGATCGTCAGTGCCACATTGCAATGAAGCTTTTCCTGTTAGTTGACCAAGATTGTAGACTGCTTCTATTCCATGGTCATCCCCTCATTCCCTCCTCCCTCCCTCTCCCCCCTGTGTGTGTTGACAACTTCATGTTTGCTTACATTTAAAAATGGCTTTTTATAATTTTAATATTTTTCAAATCCAGTTGGCTTACACTTACATATGCACATGTATCTAATATCAGATACTTTTGAGTTCATCCCTGGTTTCTCTTGCTAGCTTTGTTTTGTAAAATGATAAATCGTATTTTGCTCGTAGAACTATTCCGCTGTATGGCAAGAGAAAAACTTGACAGGTGGTCAGAGAAAAAGTTGCCAGTTAGGCAGTGGGAAATGTATTCATTATTAATGACATCGAAATTGTTTTTGGACCATATCATGTTTGTTCTTTTGTCGGAGTTTATTATGACATATTTTGAGTTAGGAAATCCCCCACCTCCCCCCCAGGGTATGTTTTTAAAGTGTTTGAGGATACCTGTGTAGTATTTATTTCCTTCACCAGTCATCACCTCACTTACAAACAACACACTCCTTACACCCAAAAATAGTCAGGCTACAACAAAGGATACACGCCTTGCCTGAAACAGGGAAAGGTATCGTGTTCGCGTGGATACCTAGCCATGTGGGCATCCGAGGAAACGAGCAGGTAGATGACCTGGCGAAGAAATCCTTATCCCTTCTGTTGGGATCAACGACGAACCCTCTTCCACAGGCTGACTTTAAAAATAAAGTCTAAATGTACACCTCCATTCTGTGGGAGAGCCACTGGAAAATACAAACAAATAACAAACTCCACAATATTAAATCCAAACTGGGACCACGAAATGAAGTCATTTTTACTCGATTACGCATCAGACTCGCGGCCCTAACACACGAATACCTCCTTCAGGGAGAAGCCGCTCTGTGTCGGATGTGACACAGATTTTACCATTAGACACATTTTAACCAAATGTCTAGACTTCGGAGAGACCCGAAGGAAATATTTTGAATGCAAAAAATTGAAAGATATTTTTTCCGTCGTTGTTCCCAGCAGAATTTTAGATTTTATGAAGGCCATTGGCCTTTATGGAAAGTTATAAAATAGATTGTTTGAAATTTTAAAGTGTTATTTAGAAAGTTGTTTGAAATTTAAATTTAAATCAAATCTATTTACACACTCGATTTTTAGCGTTTTAACAATTTTAAATAGAAATATTGACCAGTATCAGACAGAAAAATGAACTGTTGAGAAAAAAACAACTTGTTTGGCGCGCTCATATGACCCTATGCAGTTGTGAGCGCCGTAAAATCCCTAACTAAAAAAAAATACAACTTTGCTTTATTTTGACTTTAATCTGACTTCGTTTTATATCCAACTTACCTAATCTGGGTTTGGTTACATATAACTTTAGTTTGGTTTGTTCTGATTCTGGGTTGGGTTGTTTGGTTTTTTTGTTGTTGTTTTTTTTTGTAGCTGAAAGAGACGCTTCTCCTGTGGAGTTATTTGTTTGTTTGTTTGTTTGAACTTAGAGAGTAGCCGTTAGTAGACCAATTTGTTTTTTGTTTTTATTGTGTGTGACTTGTTGCATTGTAGATTTTGATATGACATGCAAGAAGCCGACAGTAATGACTGGCAAGATGGTTGGAACTCAAACCTAAATGATCTACCTCATTGTGCCCAATGTTTGTTTTGTTTTTGGTTGTTTTTTGTTTTTTTTGTCCAGAGAATCAACACCTTCCTCCTTCATACTCTCACCTGTGTGCTTATATTTTATTATGTTTAGTTTATTATTTATATATAAATATATATAAATATATAATATCCCATGGTGTATGTATGTATATATTAACGTCTGTAATATATTTGATTACTGCACAAAAAAAGTGCTGAGTAGTAGTGTGGTTGCTGTGCTGTTCTGATGTGTGTTTCTTGTTAATTCTGATGTGTGGCTGTGCCCTGTGTTGGGGTGTGTGTGTGTGTGTGTGGGTGTCTGTCTGTCTGTTTGGATTGACTGCGTTTCTGCATCCTGCTTGGACTTCTGCTGCATTTTCCCAGTAGTTGTTAAGGCAGGTCTGTTGTTTTTTTACACATGTTCTTGTTTGGGTGCCACAGATGTGCAGTTATAGCACACATATATTGTCACAGAGGTGTGTTGCCATACCATCCTTGCGGTCTTTTGGATGAACACAGATGTGTTGTGATAGATAACACATGTGTTGTCATTTGGGTGAACACAGGTGGTGTGTTGTAATAGTACTCTTGTCCTTTGGATAAACATGGGTGTGTTGTGATAGTATATGTGTGCTGTTGGGTGTGTGTATGTGACACAGCCTATTATGGTGTGCTTGTTGTGCGTGTGTTGGTGTGCTTGTTGCTGTGTTGCCTGTGTGTTCAGAAGGTGCCATGTTGACTTGTAGCTAGCCAGCCAGCTTGGCAGCTGTGTAGTATGTGTATGTAGAGTGGTTCACTGCTCTGCCAAGAGGATATAGAGTTCGATTCTCTGTCACTTTGTAGTGTGGACAGTGCTTCACTACTGTGCCCGAAGGGTTTGGTTCGATTCTCTTTGCAGAGTGTCAATAGGTTCTGCCATAGGACTCTCCTTGATCACATCCATGTGTTGTAGAGTGACATTCAGTCTGTCTATGTGTCTGTGTCTGTTATGATTCTATTATATTACAATGATTGATTATCTGATCAGGGCTAAATGAATATATAGGGCATTTTAGTGTTCTCTTCTATTATAATGTCTCTCTTTCCTCCCAGCTGTCTGGCTTCTTCATTTCTCTGTCTGTCTATCCGTCTATCCCTTACTCCTCCCTCTCTCTCTCTCTCTCTCTCTCTCTCTCTCTCTCTCTCTCTCTCTCTCTCTCTCTCTCTCTCTCTCTCTCTCTCTCTCTCTCTTCTCCCCCCCCCTACTCGCTCTATCTGTTTTTGTTTTTAATCATGTAGTGTTTTTTGTTATAATAAATGTTTCATTTTCGTTTGTTCATTCAGTAACAGAACTTTGTGTTCTCCAGCATGTTTTTTTTCTCAAGGAACTCAAGTTTGATAGGATTTTGTTACCTCTTTATTTTTGTATGATGATGCCATTATTTATTACATGTGTTGACTTACTTGTGTTGTTGTAGTGTGTGGCATACCAGTAAATTAATCAAGCGTGCCTTTTTATCCACCGTGGGAACTGTGTGTGTGTGTGAGAGAGAGAGAGTCCTACCTGTATGTAGAATATCTTATGTTTGTTTGTGTTTGTTGGAGACGTGGACGGGATGGTATGTGTTTGCATCGACCGCTTGAAAGTGTAAGACTCT